GGCAAAAAAAGTCAGTTTTGATTTCGTTCAAAAAATATAATATGTCCGTTTTGACGAAATGGCTGTTAATGGAGAGGAGCTCAAGGTGTATGAGCTCCAACAATCCCGGATCGATCGTCTGGAGCTGGGCAAATGGGTACAACGCGACCGTCTTCTCCTTCTCCGCTAGCTTGGGCCGCGTGATGACGTAGTAGACGACGAAGTGCTCCCCGATGCAGTGGTCTTCGTGCTCCACGAAGAACCAGAACATCCCCAACGTCACCGACTTGTACAGCGCCCGGTGCAACTCCCACGCGTCTTCGCCGGCGAAAGGCAGCGGATCCACGTCAATTAGCTCAACTAAATACTCCGAGAACTCGCGCATGGGATAAGGGCCCTCCGTGAGCTGGTAGGGGAGGGTGGTGTAGGAGAAGAAGGGAGGCATTTAGTACGGGACAGGGGGAATAGCTTGGAAGTTGAGAGGAGCAGCGGGAGGGAGAAGCGCGGGGAGCTGCGGCACCAACGCAATCGGTCCGTCCTCTGCCCTACGCAGCAGCACCTCGTGGGCTGTGAATCAGTGTCCCCCCCGTCCTTGCAATCTGGCCACTGATCTGGCCGCTTCCACCGCGTATTCGCGCACAAAGCTGCGCGCCGGCTCCCGATTCGGCTGCGGTAGGATCGTCAAGTCTCCGATGAAGGTGGCGAAGATGTGCACGAAATTGGGTGCCACCTGGAGCGCGCGGAACTCAATGAATACTCGGGTCGTCTCCCGGCCAGGCAACTGCGTCACGTCCACGTACACCCCCGCATACGTCAGCCAATCGCAAAGCAACGAGTACGCCGCCAAATCCGCAACCCCGGGCGCCGACACGTTCACCTGCTGAATGTCGTACCCCAACTGCCTCTCCTCATTGAACCGATGCCGCAACAGGCGATCTGCAAGCGGCGTCTGAAAATGCTCGAGGGGCTCATGCTCCGGCTGGCGATGGTTCATCCTGCTCCCTGAAACTCTCAGCACCAATGGACGAGGCAGATCGGGAAGAGGAGGAGGATGAGGATGAAGAAGGAGAGGGTGATCTCGCAGGAGCGGGAGTCCGTAGGGGACCTAGCGATGGCTGGAAAGGCCGGAGCGCGGCCGCGTGCCGTGTCAGCGGTCGGGCCTGGGAGTTGTGACGGGGAATCAGCTTCACAGAGTGCTGTCCCTGTACGCCAACTTCCGTGACCTCGTAAATGCCTGTATAGCGCGGGTGGATCTTGGAGGAGCGCGCACATTTCCGTACCTGCACCAAGTCCCCAACTTTATAGCGGGGCAGTGGTCCCGCCGACGCGTGTCGATTCTCGTAGTCACGGATCTGTCGTTGACGTGTCCGATCTACGGCCTGCTGTCGACAGCGAGCTAACGGGGGATAGGCCCTAGCCATTAAGTCCATGTAGTGGTGGGCCTTGTCTCGATTTTGGGCCCGTGTTGCTCTAACTTCCGTACCTACTAAGGGGGACAATTGCACCCGAGGGACACTATTGGTTCTCAGTTGAAAGGGGGACACCCCAGTACTACCGTGTGGGGTAGCCCGATAAACGGCCAAAATGTGGTCGACAATGACCGGCCAGGGTCGGGTGTCTCCCGCAGTGATATTCCATCTAAGGGCCGTCTTAATCAGTCGGTTGGCATTCTCTACCAGGCCATTGGCTTGAGGCCAATGCCCCGGCGAGTAGATAATCTTAACGTCCGCCCTGACTAGGTGACGTTCAACTTCGCCTTGAAATTCCGACCCATTGTTCATGTGTACCTCTTCTACGTCTTAGATGCATGCACAAAAATCGATTTACGTAACAGGCTACTTCCTGCGAATTCCGGCTGGTCATAGGGTACGCCTCGATCCATTTTGAAAAATGATCGACGGCCACTAAAAGAACATTGAGTTCTCCCTGATCGACGGGCCCTCTCGGAACGTTGATATCCGTCGTATCGATGCTAACCCTCTGAAAGGGGCGCTCTACACGAGTGGGCACCGTCGTCCGAGGCATCTGTACTGGCGCCTTGTCCGCCGCGCAGACCGGGCAATTCTGAATGATGTATTTCACATCTTCCCGAATTCCCGACCAGTACCATCCGTTCTTTTCGATGGCTTTTTCCGTGTACTTGACCGCGAAATGGACCGCATCCTCCTCATGAGCGGCTCGTGTCCAATCGAACCTAGCAAGAGGGTGTGGAACCGTCAACCAGCTAGACTCTCCGTTGTCATCGATCTTCCGTTTTTGTGACGTCGGGCCCTGCCAGTAATAGTCTTGCGCCCGCTCCGTGACTCTCCGCCATTCGGCTGTGGTAAGTTCTGATAGCGAGTCGCCTGAGAGTCTCCGAGGCAACAGGAGGTCCGTCCAGGCTTCTGCCCGGCGGGCACTTGGCGCAAATCCGTCGGCTGTTCTAACGTCCAGATACCGCTTCTCGGTAGGGACTTGGTCCGTTCTACAGTTGGGACAGACCCACGTCTTTTCACTTCGATACCTAACGCACTGTCAGTGAGATTTAACCGTATGACACTGACTACACAATACCCATAAAAGAAAACTGGGCCCTCCCGGATGTGACCCTTCTTGGTCCGGGATCATAGGCAAGGTACAGAAGAAACAGGGACTTAGATGTGTTTCAGAGGACGAGTTGGGGCTAGACGAGAGAGCAAGGGAGTGGGATGAGGGCAGAGAGATAGCGCCGGCCATCTCCAATGAAACCTCCATTCCGGACTCAGGCGTCGTCCTTACGCAGCACGCGTAGCTCCCTGTAGTGCGGTTTCGTCGCCGCGACTTCTGGCCTCCACGGAATGAGTCGCTTGTTGGCGGGACACTTGTTGGGCGGCAGAAGGCGCGTTAATCCATCGGCGTTACCATGCTGCCGCGTGGCACGGTGGCGGATGTCGAAGTCATAGTCTTGCAGACGCACCGCCCACCTGCCCAGCGTCCCCGTGTAGTCCGTGTTGTTGCGTAGGGACAGCAGCGGCTGATGATCCGTTACCAGCACGAATTTCTGGCCGTACAGATACGGTCGGAAATGCTGAATCCTCCACACCACCGCCAGGCATTCACCTTTGCATGCTTCGTAATTAGCCTGCGCCTGGCTCAGCGTCTTGGACGCATACTCAATGACGTGCTCCCTTCCGTCCTTGCCGTGCTGAGTCAGCACCGCCGATATCGCCTGAGGCTGCCAGTCTGTGTACAGTGCGAACAGTCTTGCCGGGTCGGGGCGTGCCAACACAGGAGCAGATGTCAGAGCCTCCTTCAACGCCTGAAACGCCGCTTCGCATTGTGGCGTCCAGATCAGTTGTTCTTCTTTCTTCAGCAGGTTCGTGAGGGGCTTCGCTATGTCGGCGAACCCCTTGATGAAGCGTCGGTAATAGGATGCCAGCCCTAGAAAAGCCCGAACCTGGATGAGTGTGACCGGCGCCGGGGCATCTTGAACTGTTGCCACCTTCCTCAGATACGGTTTTAGTCCGTCGACCTCGACAATATACCACAAGAATGAGATCTCCGACAAGAAGAATTCGCTTTTCTCCAAGGCCACTTTGAACCTTGCATCTTTCAGTGCATGCAAAACCCACTCAATGTGTTCCACGTGGTACTCGTGTGGTGGTACTCGTGTGTTTTTGAAAAGACCAAAATAGAATCCATGTACACAATCACGCAAAAATTGATTAGGGGCTGGGTTAGTCGGGTTTTGTTAACGAACTCAGCGAAGGCCATATTCATGGCCCGCTGAAACGTTGCAGGGGCGTTACAAATTCCCATGGGACACCGGACCCATTGCCGCGTGCCCTCAAATAGGACAAAAGCGGTTTTGGGTCGGTCCTCCGGTCGGACTGCGACGTGGTGAAAACCATGTCGGATATCGAACTTGGAAAAGACTCGAGCGGCCCCGATAGCATCTAACAAATCATCGATTCACGGCAAGGGATACACATCTTTGGTAGTAATGGCGTTCAATTTCCGGTAGTCGATACATACCCGGACCGAACCATTTCATTTTGGCACGAGGACCTTGGGAAAAGACCACAGTCCCAGCGATCGTTCGACCCACCCCAACCTCTCGAATTCCCGTACCCTTTCCAAAGCCAGTTGTCTTTCTTTAAGGGAATATCAGTTCGGTCGGCAATGTATCGGGACGTGATCCCCGGTATCAATCGCATGCTGTATCAAAGGGTTTAGCCCTATGTCGTGGTCCTGAATACTGACGGCCTTAGGATAGGCCCGTATAACGGCCAGGAGGAGGCGTCTGTATTCATCCGGAACACGGGTTGGTAACTGAACTTCCACGGTTCCCCCAGGAAGGGAGACCGTCGTCGTAACCGTGGGGACCGCCGCGCTGGCATCGGGCGAGGCCCCAAACAAGGAGTTGTCGGCTTTCGCCGAAAGGACAGTCGCAACGAGTTGACTGTCCGCCGGACTCATCGGCTCGCTTTCCATGTCACTGTCACTATCCAGTTCGGGTTCGGCCGAGGGTTCGACCGAAAAGGTCTGCGCCAGTTCCCTCGGTCCCCACCGATACTCCCATGTTCGGGGTTGAAACGACACCCCCTCTTTCAGGAGTATTGCGGTTTTTTCATTCGTGAGTAGGGGCCGTGGGGGTCGAGAAGATAAATCGCACAGCCCCCTCTGCTCAGTAAATCTTTCAGGTAGGGGGTCCGTCCTGAGATACAAGGACGCAGGGGGTTTCGAAAGCTCAGCTATTCGGGACACCCTCAGCAAGGGTTCCCCCTGCACCACGGAGGAGAACGGGTGCGACCAATTGGACTCGCTCCGAACTATTTCCAGTGGTTCTCGCCGCCAAGAATGGCGCCACAGATCCTAAACTCGGATCGGATATCGGTCGGGTACATCAGTCTTGTCAGTTTCCGTTGAGGGTTCATTTTCGTCTGGTGACAGGCGTCGGATCATGTTGATTTGATGGGCTTTCGTGGTGAGGCGAGGCGCCGGCTGGGTACGCATGCGCACCGCCAGTCTCGTTGGTATCGTTTGGGGTTTGGGGTGGGCCGATGTGAGCACCACCTTACAGCTGTCAAAGTGCATTCGCGCTCTGACCTGCCGCCTGCCACGGAATGCCTAGCAAAACATCATACGCCTGTGCATCCAGCACGATCACGTCACACAAACAATGCACCCGCCCCACCCGTATAGGCACGTTCGTTATTCGCCCTTTACAATGAATATAATCTTCCGTAGCGGATATATACAACTCATCTGGTCGGCGGGGCTGAACCTGTCCTTCCCTTCCCAACTGTTTCGTCAATCTCCAAGAAATGGCGACCGCCGACGATCCCGAGTCTAGGATGGCGGTCGAGGGGTTTCCCCAGACCTCGCAGTCACACTCGACGCTTTTTCAGGTTATATGATAGGCTCGGAGGAATACCTCGGGTTTTTCCGAGGCAGAGTCTACGGTCTGGATCATTCCTATCCAGGTGGCTTCGTGCACCTTTGAGGTCAAGGGCTGCGACTCCTCGTTTGTGGGTAGGTCCCGTAGGACCGACTTTTTGCCTTTTCGACTTTCCTCGAATCGGCGCCTGTTTCTTAGGCACCGTTCGATCAACTTTTCGTTAGCCGCTTCGGAAATGGTTAGCAGATAGGGAATAGGGATGGGGATCCGAAGATCCAGAGCCTTCAAGGCATCCAATACGTCGATATGGCCATCCTTGTATTCAGGGTCAGGCGCCGCAAGGTCTTCGAACCCTAGTCGCCACGGCCCGAGGTCGCTTTCCTCGGTAATTCGTTGGACGTGACCTATCACTCCGATGGTCCCGAGTTCGAACAAAGCCGCAGCCATGTATTCATCGGGCCCTATCTCGGTGGCCGCAGGGGTCACCATTTTCGTTGCCCCGATATCCATCACCGTGGCCACCCTCCCCTGTCCTGCAGCGGTTGGAGCAGCCAGCGGGATTTGGGAAGGCCCAGCGGGCCCACCCAAAGCTCGAGGTTTCGGGCAATCTTTCGCAAGGTGACCTGGCTGATTGCAGTTATAACAGCGTAGGGACTGGACAGCCCCGGCCACGGCCGGTCTTATCATAGGGGCCCCAGCGGCCATAGCCGCCTGTTGCCGTTGTGCGGTGGCTAGGCGTTGCCACTGCAGGCCCTAAACAAACTCCGTCAACGGGGCCACTATCGTAACTAATTGGGCCGCGACCTCCTTCATGACCCCCTTCTT